TAGAAAATTAAAGTCTTGTCTAAACGAGTTTCTTATATATAATTCATACACATCCACAGGTTATAGTTGATGTGAGAGTCGAAACTCGAACAATATAATTTGTTTAGGATTATTGAGGAACAAAGATTTCTAAGTACAAATCACGGAAAGCAAAAGATGAGAAGAGAGATTTTATTGTTGTTTCCGTTAAGCTTTAAGAGTACAAGAGTTTTGTTAAGTAAAAACTGCGGATCCCCCTTAACAGAGTTTACAACGATATATATAGTGATACTCCGCGGCTAGGGCTAATGTTAACAATATAAGAAAAGCCTCCTTGTTCTTCGGGATCCTTTCTCCGCAGAGTCGCTATGCGTTATGGGCTTCTCTTCGGGGTTCAGTCTACTCTCAAGTGCTTCGGCCCACTATCCGACGGCTCGGCCCGTTCCTTCTTCTTCAACGTCCTACAGGTCGGGTTAAGGCTAGCCGCGGGTCATTAAGGTTAGCTGCGGGCCGGATTAACCCTTAGAGTTAAGGTTAGATGCGGGTCGGGTTAACCCTTAGAATTAAGGTTAGTCACGGATCCCCTAACATCACAACAACAATCGTCCCCTTTGGCTTATGAAACAAATAGTTAATTATGTCAGTTAACTATTTAACAAGATACGATAAACAGATTTAGTCAACTATATTTACCTCTCCAACCTTGTGAGTTTCGCCGTCAACCTTGTTCTCCATCATCTTCACCATTGCTAGCATTCGATTTGTTCTCCACTGCTTCTTTAACAAACGCCTCTGAATGATGAACAAAAAAAAGATATTAAAGATCAACATGATTCGCGCAATATTAATCAAAGATCAATCAACTTGAATCGTGATCAATCAGAATCAAATTCTGATCGTGATCAATCAGAATCGATTTCCTCCTCCTTCAAAGCTTTGGAGAAAATAGGGTTCACGATATGAAACACAAATTTTTACCAAGGCGGCGACTGTAAACAATTTTTAGGGATTTTTTTAGGGGTTTTAATAAAAAATCCCCTCAATTATCGCTGGATCTTGAAAAATCCCCTCAACTATACTTCGTTAGTGAAATCAACTCTTCGTCTACAATAACGTTTAATCTCAATAAGAATTATTGTCTTTTGTTACAAAAACGACAAAACGTCTTAAATATTGACCAAACCATCAAATTGTTTACAGGAAAACAATAGTAGTG